CCGCGGCCCCCCGCCGGGCCCGGCAGGTGCGCGGCGGCCCGCCCCCCTTGTCTGCCGTGTCCCGACCCGACACCCCGGCCGGTCCGGCCCGGTTCCCCACCCGGAGTCGCCGAGGAACCCGCGAGAGTGAGCGCCCTTCTCTAGGGACCCACTGCTCCCAGGTCGCGGCCGGGCTGAGGGGTAGAGGGACAGGGTGTGCCAGGGACTCCCGACCCCCACCCGCCTGCTAAGGGATTCAGTGCTTTTTAAACATTGGGGGTTTTTTCAACTTACAAAAATAAGATATACCAAATGGCGTAACTGGAGACCGCTGAAAAGCCCCAAAACGGGAGGGTGACACCGAACGCCAATTTTTCTATTTAGATTGACTCGTCGACTCAAGGAATTGGGAGAGGAGCCAGTTCCACTCTTTACTTCCTTAGCCTGAAAGCCCCTCCCTCTTCCCCACGCTGGTTCCCGCCCAATCTCTGGTTCATCCTTCAAGGCACACCTCACACGCCTCCTCCAAATAGCTTTTCTGTTCTCTTTGTTCCTTGCATCGCAACTGGGACGCATGCAATCAAAAGTTAATCCTCTCCCGCCCCTCCTCAGAGCCTCCTTTTTATCAAAGGTGTTCTGAAAGGAGCCTGAGCTTCAGACCTGGGTTAGGGACAAAGCCATTCTACCCTAACTTCTTAGCTTTAATATCCTTAATTTAACAAGCTACCTATTCTCACTGAGTTTACCTGGAATTTTTGGATGCGTCGTCAATGCGGGTGACTGCCCCTGGCATATTAACACGTCTTGAGTTAATGTTCGTTTTCTTCTTGCATTTCTTTTTTGTGCTTTGTATGATATTTTAATAATTTGTATGCTTTCTTAGTTCAGCCTCATACTCCCAGCTGCTTGAAGGCAGAGGGCTCATCATGAATCTTGCTCATCTCCGCATTACTGAAATGACTAACACGGTGCTTTGCAACCAACAAACATTTGTTGGATTGAATTGAGTCATGTTTGTAAATTGAACATTACTCTCTTTCCTTTTATTCTCCCTCATTTGCTCCCTCAATCCTTTCTTTTTTTTTTTTTTTTCCTAACGGTCAAATCCATTCTAACCCATCAAATCCATTCCTACATATGTAGGATATGAACTACATATTATTATGTGAACTACACATATTAATGTCTCCGCGTGATTATTCAGGCTGAACATTTTTTTTATTTTGAGCTAAGCTGGACTGAAAAATTGGCAAAAGTGAAAATGGGCTATCAGTTCAGTGACAGAAGTGATGTCAAGTGAAAATTGGGGTTAAAAAAGAAAAAGACCTCAAGTCCATCACAAACTGAAGACTAGGTTTTGAAAGCCCTGATTTCAAACTTTTAGGTTAAAAATGTTTTTATCAAGATCCACAAAGTATAAAAAACTGTGCCAACTTATAATGCCCAAGTATATATTGCCCTTTTAACTCCTGAATTGGGAACTGGGTGGCATTAGACATTTAATCATAATAAAGGATCTAACTGGATTATTGGCTTAGAGTTACATAAAAGAATCTGATAAAAGAATTGAGACTCAGTCACCTATCAAGCTAAGAATATAGTTAGGACTAGAATCAAGTGGTCTGATAGTGCTGATAGTGATTTAAATGCTGCCTGAATTAAGGGATTATGTTTGTAGATTTTGATTACTTAGGAGGAAGGCATAGGATATCTGACAGGATATTCCTGTTAATGGATACTGCGATCTCAGTAACTAGAGTTCAACTATTTATACCAATATGTGATCTTGAACACCTTCTGAAGCAACAAGATTATTTCAATGTTTCCCTTCACTAATAGCAACCAATCATTACATGCCTGCTTTACATACAATGAGTACTCACTAAATATTTTAAATGGTGTGTTGACTTTTATTAGAAGGGCAAGCATGTGCCACTACTGCTCTGACTTACTGCACCTATTCATTTCTTATCATTCATTCATTCATTCATTCAAGTCATTCCTGAAAAGGTGATATTTCAGCAAAGATTTGAATGAGAAGAGAAAATGAGCAAGAGATATGAAAACAGTATAGCATACCCAAAGGTCTTCAAGTGAGTATGATTGACATGTTGAAGGAAGAGTAGGAGGTGAGGGTGACTAGAGTGGAATGAATCGGGAAAAAAAAGAGATGAAGTCTTAATGGTATGGAGGGAATAGATCCTGTAGAGTTATGAAGGTCACTTACTGTGAGTGAGATGGGGAGCCATTGGATAATCTGAGCAGATGAGTGACATGATCCAGTTTATGTTATTAAAGGACATCTGCTGTTATGAGGAGAAAGGACTCGGGGGATCCATACAGATGTTATTTTAATAACTCAAATAAGAAATAATAGTTGTGGCCTGCCAGTGACAAGGTGATTAAAGTGGCTGGTTACCACATGGCCAACTTTGTGGTTAGTGTTCCAGACCCAATTGTTTGAAAAACATGCAGTGCACTGGTGCTCATGTGCCTAAACTCCCGAAAGGAGAGAGATGGAAAAGAAGGGGTTGCAGCATGACCATTCCCCATGGGGGGATGCTTTCTATCTTTTCCTATCTTTCTCTGTTGGCAAGTGTATGGACCCTCTGACAAATTAAAATAATAATAAATAATAGGAGTTTGGACTAATAGTGCCATAGGAGTTGTAGACTAAATGTGAGGTTTGAGACAAAAAGAAGAATCAACATTAGCTCTAATGTTTTTGGCCTGAGCAACTGAAGTGATGGAGTTGCCAGTAACGGACATATAGGAGATCAAATCTGGAGGAGACTAAGAGATCACTACTGGACATGTCCTGTACATTAGGCATTCAAGAAATTATATCACCCATAGATACCTGAGTGTAGAGTTCAAGAGAGAGGTTCAAGGTAAAAATAAAAATTTCAGAGTAGTCAGCATTCAGCATATATAGATGTTATTTTAAGTTATGGGTTCAGATGAGATCATCTAAGGCTATGCTGTCCAAGGAACAGCCATTTTGCACATGTGGCTATGAAGTATGTGAAATGCAGCTAGTTGGAATTAAGATATAGTACACATTGGATTTCAAAGACACAGTATTGAAACAGAATAACAATATTTTCATATTATTGAATCAGTTTCCTTCTATTTATTTATTTTAAATTTGCCAGAGGGCACTTGTGCTCACCAGAGAGAGAGACAAAGAGAGAGAGAGAGAGGGAAGGGAAGGAAGCATCCCCCCCAAAAGGGGCATGGTCAGACCACAAGCCATTCTTCTCCTTCTCTCTCTCTCCTTCGGAGAGAGAGAGACAGATAGACAGACAAACACCCCCAACAGGATCTTTATGCTGTGATCAAGTCAGCCAGGATCATGGAAACAAGCATATGCTCCCAGTGTGCATAGGGAGATCTCCGAATGTGAAGCCAGGACCTTCCTATGTGATCTCAGCCTTGATCATGTTAGTACTACACCACTCTGCTGGTCTAAATAACTTTTCTTTATCCCTGTCTCATATGATCTATTTAAAATTTATTTATCATTTCAGTTGCCATTCTCTGGATCTTTACCAAATTCTCTAGAACTCATTTAAGTTAACTACGTGATTTTTATTAAACGTATGAACTATGTATCTCACCATAACTCTATTAACTCATATTTCCTATATGCTTATTTCTTAGTAGTATCAGACATATTTTAAGGACAGTATAACATGATTGAATTATTAACCTTAATTTAAATGCATATCTATTTTTCTTTTACATGATGGTTTTGCTTCTTCTTTAGTGTGTGACTTTCTAGAGTTTTCACATGAATAAATCATCAATATGCACTTCAATTGTGTCCTTGCCCACAAATCTTTAAAATGCATATAAACTTTAAAAATTAGTACAGTACTTTAAAGCATTTTACCTACTGGTGAATTCTGTATCTTTTTATACAAGGTATTTCCCCCCTCTTTTTTGAGGAAAGGATGGGAGAGATTGAAGGGAGAGAGAGAATGGAGGAGAAGGGATTGTGGCGAGGCCATCCCCCCTGGGGGGTGATTTCTCCCTTTCTGTCTCTCTCTGTCTGTCTGGCGAGTGCACGCGCCCTATAGCAAAAACATCTAAAAAATAAAAAAAGAATCCAGGCTGGTATGTCTTTTTCTTATCTCCCCATTGCATTCTAGTCCTTATAATCATGTCAGAGTAGCTTTCTACAATGTAAATATCACTAAATCATTCCATTGTGGCTGACTTTTCTGCTGTCTATAAAAATCCCTTCAGATTCCCAAATCTGTCATTCAAGGCACTCCATCACTTGTCCACAAATTAACTCGATAGTCCTAACTCCAGCTCCTCCCCTTACCAACTCCTCATTCTAGTCAGACAAGTGTTCACTGGGCAGTGACTGACTAATCACATTTTATACAACGCAGAAATCTACACACGGGGTCAGAGTTTTCATAAGACATATTTATGGAACCTATGATTGAGCTTATTTTGCAAATATGGCTGGTAACTAGGGTAAAGCTGAAGAAAAAGAAGACAGTGATTACTAAAACTAAAAATGGTTATTTTTAGTAGTTAATAAAGAAGAAAGGTTCATAAATAAATAAGATAGGAAGAAACACAGAGGTATATCTTCTCCCTTTCATAGAATAAGAAACTGAAGACTTGAAAGGCAACATGACTTGCTAACTTTCCATGGTTGGATAGCAAAGTCGGTCCTTAGCTAGTCTATTCCCAGATCCACTGACTTAAGTCTTACTCCATTTTACTAAGGTGTGTCTCAAAACAAAATCAGTACTAGAATTTTACAAGAATAAAAATATGCGGGGCTGGCAAGTGGCGTGGTAGTTAAGGGCGCTGGACTCCCACATGGCCGACCACGGTTTGAGTCCTGGACCTGACGGCTTGTTTCTCTCTCTCTCTCTCTCCCTCTCTAACTCTGTGTCTCTCATATTAAAATAAGTGAATAAATAAAGTTAAATAAAATAATTCCTAAAAATATATATTTTTAAAAAAACATGCTTTAGAAACTGTTAAAGGGAACAGCAGTTAGCTGGTCTCCCATGGACTCTCATGTAGTCGACCACGGTTTGAGTCCCGGACCCGGTGGCTTAAACTCACGCTGGGTGCGTATGCGTGCATGCCCAAGATCCCGAGAG